GTGTGCTCTTCCGATCTAAAATATGTTTTTGCATAAAGTTATATAATTTTATATATTAATTATTTTTATAGTTTTTGCCAGTTTATTCTAGTCCATGGAACGTTAACGTTTAGAACGATGAAAACCGGAATTTTTATTATGGTTTTTGTCACTCGCTAGACTTTTCTAGTCAATCCTGATTTTAAGTTAAATATCTTTAAATTAAGCTTAATTTTTTATTAGATCAAGTAAATTTGCTGTTTAATTATGTAAATTATCAAATATCATTAAATTATAATTTTTATCAAATGCAATATTATTGCACGATTAATTTTTTAAATGTTTCAAATAAACAATTCGTACTTTGCGTTTTTCTAATATTTATACTGATGCTTTTGTTTTTATTATTTGTTATTGCTTCGCACAAATGGATTTACCCTTTTCAATTATAGCGATGTACGACGACGCTTTCCAAAGCTGCTGCGCTTAGTAAGTACCATGCATGTTGTAACATATGTACATATTCTAAACTTTATATCCTCTCGCGTCATATGTTTTTCTTTACTCGGCACAACAGGATGGCGTCGAATTACCACGACCGATTGTCTTTGATGTTGCTGATGAATCTGCCAAAATTCCTCCATCACAGAGGCTGTTTGTTGCCGATGGAAAAGCGCAAGAGATAGCGAGTCAGTTTTTGCATCAGTATTTTACGATATTTGATACTGAAAATCGTCAACCTCTACTTGATGCGTATGACGAACATGCAAGCTTTAGCATGACGATAACCACTGCCCACAATAATAAGTAAGTGTTTGTGCAACATTACACTATTTTATTTTCTCTTTATTCCCGTATCGTGAATATATTAATGTTTTTTGTTTTGTTTTATTGAGTACAACGGAAAATTATTCAACCAAAATTATATTTTTGTTGCAGATTAAATGGGTATATCATGGAAAGTCGAAACCTGTTTAGAATAAATGACACCACCAGGCGACAGAAATTGTTAAAACAGGGAAGATTGCCTGTAGTTTCTTTTGTGTCAGAAATGCCGCGAACAAGGCATTTGTTGAATACCTTTACGATGGACATCTCTCTTGCTACAGTTAGTATTTGTGTTGTATTTATTATTACTCGTTACAAGTGATAAAGATAGACTCATATTATAATTTACTTTTTATTTGTCCACAGCAATCGATGATGTTCATTACGATAACGGGTTACTTCCAAGAACTCGATAACAAAGACGAACCAATTCGTTACTTTAATAGAACTTTCATAATTGTCCCGGAAGGCGAAGGGTATTGCATTCGAAATGAGCAGTTGCACATTAGTCAGCCACCCGAGGCACTAATGAAGCAACTGCATCAACAGTTGAGTCAGCTAAACAGTCAGCCAACCCAGCCGGAGACGCCGGCGCTGGGATCCGCGGAAGTAGCGAAGTCCGTAGTCCCGGAACTTAGTAACGATATAAAGCAGCAGATGACGGTGACGCTAAGCCAGCAGACAAATATGAATCTGGAATGGAGTTTGAAGTGCTTACAAGAAACACAGTGGAACTACGACAACGCACTCTCGGCCTTTCAAGAGTTCTACAAACGTGGACAGATACCGTCAGAAGCGTTTACGAAGTAAACACGTATGTGAGTAAAAAAAAAAGACACTGTGATAATAAGTAGTATAAGAAAGATGTGAGAGCGCGGACTTGTAAAAACATCAAATTCTATTTCATCAAGTTTCATTCCGTTTAGATATTAGTTTAATTATTAGTTATATTAGTTTTTTCTACGCGTATACTTATTTGTATCTTGCATCAGAACCTGAATAGAATATATTTGGATATTTGTTACTTTGAATTTCCAATAACGAAAGACAATTGTTTATTTTTGGAAAGAAAAAAAAAAGTATTAGAAAATGGAATATAATAAGATACATTAATATAATTCCATCAGAGAAATATTTTAAACGTATCTATAAAATCCTCTTGTCTTTACATTTTATTTTTCACAAAATTGCACACAGTATATGTGAATGAATGTAGTTAAAAGTCACAATTTCAATCTCATTACAATCTCAACATGTAAGAAAAGTCATGTTTATTTTTCATATTGTGATTTTTAACAAATTTCATATATAGTATAGATACATCATATATAGTATAGATACATGCAGTATCTTATTTAAACAGCACTAATGAAAATTAATATAACGCTATCATTTTTTTAAATTATTTGTATACTATAGTTTTTTTGGGAAAATCTTGTTTATGTAAGAAAGCGTAATAAATGTTTGTGTAAACGTTATTTACTTTAATTAAAATATAAATATCGTATCAGAGTTGTAATAAGATAGATTTTTTGGGTAATTTTATGATGTGTAAAATCATTGATGTCGTTATATACATATATGTCGACAGGTGATTAACTGAATATTTCCCCCCAAAAAATTGTTTAGGTAGTCATTTGTATACTTTTCATTGGTGCTGTTTCATTGGTAAATATACTATGTATGAAACATAGATTAGGTTAGGTTAAGTTATATATGCATTTGATAGTAAGATAAGACAATTGGATTTTTGATATATTAATTAATATGAGAAATATCGTAGTAATGTTAGGTATAACAAGTAATATTTTATTACAAATGTCCGCTCTTCAGGTTTTGATACATAAATATAAAAAAAATTTTTTAAAAGTTCAAATGATAAAAAAAGAAAAAAATTTATTTAGGTTTAATTAGATATTTATTAGGGGAAAAAAATATTATATAATTTCACATTCATAATCAAATTTTTAGCATAATATAACATAACAACATATGTATAATATGTGTTGTTATGTCATATAATGTTAAAAGCAAAATATAAGATAAACAGCATTTTCTGGTATGTAAAAAAATTACGTACTATTTGGTCTAAAATTTTTAATGTATTTCTTATTACACACATTCAAGTTTGCAGTATGTATCATAATTTCTACATATTCACAATTCTTCTGATTCATAAAGTGTGAACAAAGAGAAAAATTTATATTCCATTAACATCTTTACATTGCCTTTTCGTCAATGTAAAGTTTCATATCTATTCTAAGTTCAGGGAGCACGCTATTAGCACTGTTTAGCGTTTTGTCTCTCATTGTACCTTTATAATTCATTAGATATGAAACAAGGAAAGAATGACAAAATAACACTGAATAGCGCTGACAGCGTACTTCCCGAACGCGTACATTTAAAATGAAATATATTTCAATGTTAGATATATTTCTATATATATATATATATATATATATATAAAATTTAGATTTTAAAAATTAAATTTACAAGTAAGATACAGATAAGAAAGATATAGATACTTTTATTGAAAAACAATGTA